GGGAAAGTGAGCAAGACACGACAGTTATGGTATCATGATTATGGTTAAATAAGATAAAAGATATCTAATATAAACAAATGAAATTACATTAATTTTCGAATTAAATATCACAACACACATTTATTGTTTTTAATTATGATAATGTAAGCGCAACTTGTGTAGATTTATGGCGTAAAAAGGCTTGACTGCTTCATTTTGGCGTATATTTGTATACTTTTACCCTAATCAATCTCAGCATGATTTAATTGCTTCACTAAGGTTAAATTAAGTCTTTCTTTGGTCAGCGCTCTGGAAGTGATCTTTTAATTATGCTAAATTTTAATTATAAAACTAAAACTAAAACTGAAACTAAACTATATAAAACCTAAATAGAAATGTGTTCACAAAATAAAAACTAAACTAAAACTAACAAAATTATTAATGAAACTAATAAAAACGAAACCAAATTTTGGTGCAAATTTGAAAATGATATTAAAATGCAAAACTATAATAACCTTGCCCGTAAGACCTTCGTTCATCTTCGGAACACAAATTAAGATATTTTTGATGCATTCCGAGAGCTCTCTGATCCTCCCATAGACAGCAAGGATCCTTACACGATCAAGGCTCAGAAATGTAGCAGGGAGATCATTAAAATAATCCATGTGACATCAGTGGTTCAACCGTAATTTTACGAAGCTATGAGAATAATTTTTGTGCGCAAAGAAAACAAAAATAACTACTTTATTCAACAATTTGTCTCCTCCGCGTAACCCTGTATCACCATTTTGGAGAGTATCACATAAGTAAACAACGTATGCTGTTCTGTGTCAGCAGCACCGTACGCGAAAACGCTGTTTACGTTGTTTACGCTTTGATCTGAACGTAAACAACTTACATATAAAAACGAGTATAATATAATAACGAATAAAGTCGTTATTTTTGTTTTCTTTGCGCACAAAAAGTATTCTCGTAACTTCGTAAAATTACAGTTGAACCACTGATGTCACATGGATTATTTTAACGATGCCCTTGCTACGTTACTGAGCCTTGATCGTGTAAGGATCCTTGCTGTCTATGGGAGGGTCAGAGAGCTCACGGAATGCATCAAAAATATCTTAATTTGTGTTCCGAAGATGAATGAAGGTCTCACAGGTTTGGAACAACATGAGGGTGAGTAATTAATGACAGAATTTTCATTATTGGGTGAACTATCCCTTTAAGATATTTCCACCATTTGCTTTTATTACAGCTGTCAACTTCTTAGAATAGTTTCACAGAACTTATGAATAGTACAGGGGAATGTTGTGCCATCTGCCAATTGCTTCAAATGTGATCTTATGTATGTATGTGTTTAAGCCAATAAACTATAGAAAAGAAAGCTCAGAAAAGTTGCATGCTCCTTTAAATTATGAGATATTCAAGGCAATACACTTGACAATAACCCCACTAACCCACTATCTATAATTAAAATCCAAGTACTATGAAAGTGTTGAAGGATTGGAGGAATAGAGGATTTCTTTGAAATCAGCTAAGATATAAAATATGTTGCTTTGTTCTTCAAAATTAATTAGTTTGACTATTCAGATGAGACTTCTTCTTATTCCAGAAGCATTTTTTCCTTTTTTTTCCCCCACCTTTTTTAGGTATGATGAGAACCTGACAGAAATAGTTCTACATCTGTGCCCACCACCCCTCTCCCAATTTGAATTAGTTCAAACAGAATGTATGATAAAAGTCTATTGTGTCTGCAGCTCTGCCATGTCTCATGGAGGTTAAGCTAGAAATGTCTGCTGTGATGTGTTTCTGCTTGAACTCCCAATGGTTCCCTCAAATTAAAATACTTTCTCCCCCCATCCCATCCCTGGATGTACACCCAGAAAGAGGCCTTACAGAGACATATCTGCATACATAGATCAGAAAATATGATAAATTAACCATGGAGGCATTATGAAACTTCATTATGAAGATGTCATGCTATAAGCCTAATCACTGAAACATTGCTGGAATTTATATATTTGAACAGCTGTTGAACTGCATTGTGCTCCAAATACCATGATGGTTCAGTTCAGTGTGCATTTGGTCTAATTTCAGAGTTACTTTCCAAACTCATTTGGTCTGTGAGTTCAGATGAGAAGTCTAAAAAAAACTGCAACAATAGCCTCAAATGTCTCATAATTTAAAAGAGCACACAACTTTTTCAATTGTAAAAAGGGAATGTTTTAGGACTTAATCTAATCTCTCACACTGATTCCAGAATTCAAAATCCATGTTTTAGGCAAAATTAAGCATATTTCAAGATTTATTATATGGGAAATTAAGGTAATTTCCCATAATTCAATTATGGGAAATTACGACTGCCTTTACATTTGCAAATTAAATTAAAATCTCCTCTTTGCAAAACATTGTCGATGTCTGGCACAAAATGTATTAATATACGATCATCAAGTGAGAATATATGACCATCTTGGGGCACAACTTCAAAAAGCGATCGTCATGTCAAAATACATGGGAATGAGAGGAAAAGAATGCCCTTTCTGTGGCTCAGGCCAAACAAGAATGCTGCAGTCTGTATCTCTGACATTATGAAGTTTAGATATGTTGCTTGCAAAAGAAATGATGCATAGTGCTTGAATAATCATAAAATATTGTAGGATAGTTGCATACTAAATATGGTTATGATTATGGTTATGTTCACTCCAACCACAGATAAACAGATCAGACAAAATATGAAATATGTGCACTGATCATTCATTTAGTTGTTTTTGCTGAGTAAACATTCCCAGTAAAAATATGCCAGATCATGGTAGTGTACTACATCTTCCACAATCTATTCATAACCAACTTAATTCTCAGTGAATTACCTCTAAGATTGTTTTTTAAATTATATATATATATATATATATATATATATATATATTAGTGCTGTCACTAAATAAAAAAAAATTTATTAATTAATCGC